GGGAGCAGCGGGAGCCCCCTCACTGCTGGTGGGAAGGCAGGGGCGCAGCCACTGTGGAAGACAGCTGGGTGGTCTCTTACCAAACTGAACAGACTCGTGGGACCCAGCAGTCACGCTCCCTGCTATTTACCCAAAGGAGCTGAAAGCTGATGTCCACACAAAACCTGCCCACCGACGTTTACAGCAGCTTTGTTCTTGACTGACAGGATGGGAAGCAGCCCAGGCGTCCTTCCGCAGGTGGGTGGGTGAGTCACCGTGGCCCACCCAGACGGGGGGTATTATTCAGCACGGAAAAGATTCCAACCTGGGCTTGCACACCCCCGAGTGTGAGCTCTTTGCTCCCCTCATCCTAGTCTTGACTTTATTTAAAACTTTGATATTTTGTTCATTGCAGGTTTTTCTATTGGTTTTGATCTTTTTTATCCTCACCTAAGGATATGTTTTTATAATTTGAGAGAGAGAGAGAGAGAGAGAGAGAGAGAGAGAGAGAGAGATTGATGTGAGATAAATATCAATTGGTTGCCTCCCATACGTGCCCCAACCAGGAATCAAACCTGTAACCTAGGTATGTGCCCTTACCAGGAATCAAAACCACAGCTTTTTGGTGTATGGGGACGATGCTCCAACCAACTGAGCACCCGGCCAGGGAAGATTTTGCTCTTTTAAAATATTGCATTAAAATATTGGCAATTATTTACATGCTAAACATGCAACTGCCATAGGCCCCAGTGGCTGCACCCAGCATGTATCCACAGAGATGAAACTTCACCCACACAAAAACCTGTCCACGAGTGTTCACCACACTTTACGTGGACGCCTCTTCAGTGGGGGGTCCGGCCCACCATGGCGCTCTGCTCAGCAGCCACGGGGAAGAAGCAAGTGAACAGACACGCAATGACCTGAGCAGAAAAGCGAGGCCCAGATGGCTACCTACGGCGCGGTCCATGCAGCTGATATTTTGGAATGAGAATTTCAGAAATGGAGAACAGAGCAGTGGCTGCAGGTGTAGCGACAGGGAAGCAGGGAGGTGGCGTGGCTGTAAAAGGGGGAGGCAAAGGTCCCAGGAGGGTGCTGGGAACGTGCTCTGTCTTGACTCTGTAGGAGGAAATAAAACATGTAGAATTTAGCGCATGCACACACTCTCTCACATACGAATTTGGGTAAATTGCCATGGCCGGGGTGACACCTTTTATAAAAAGATCACACAGGGCCCCCTATATATTTCTTGCAGCTCCCTGTGACTCCACAATTTTCTCCATTAAAATTTTAACAAAAGCAAACCCCAAAAATACGTTCTTTCTCTTCATTACTGAGTGTCAGTGCTGCCTTCAGCTCTGCACCCACTGTCCTCATCCTGATCCCCGCCCAGGTGGCCTCCTCCGGACCTCTCCTCTCCTCCTCACCCAGTTCCTTGCTCTCTCCCTCGAGACTCCCAAGGGCCGGGCCGGCTCCTTTGCCGCCGGCTCCTCCGCAGCCCAGGTTCTAGCAAGAACCCCGATGACTCCACCAGCAGCCGTGCAGGACTCGCCATCCTGGTTCTCGCAGGCTGAGCAATTAAATCGCCAAAGCCGCCGGCAGTCCCGCAGGCAGTCACACAGAATCGCCGGGGCCCAGCCCGCCCACCCGGGTGTACGCCCGAGAGGACTGAGAGCAGGTGCTCACAGGCTGGTCCACACATGTTCACAGCAGCCAAAAGGTGGAAACACCCCAAGTGTCCACCGACAGAGGACGGTGAGCACCATGTGGCCCCTCCACACGACGGAATATTACTCAGCCTTCGAAAGGAAGGAAGGACTGGCTCACGCCACAAAGTGGGCAAACTTCGAAAACATGATGCTCAGGGAACAAAGCCGGACAGAGACCACACGTGCGAGTCCACTCCATGAAGTGACTGCAAGACGCAGGTCCGCGGAGACAGAGCAGCGTGGCTGCTGCCACGGCTTGTGCAGAGGGAGCCACAGCTGCCGAGCACGCAGTCTCCTTGGGGTCTGGGTCCGACAGTGTCCTGGGTCCGACAGTGGAGACGCTGCGCATGCTCGTGAGTGTGCCCGGTGCCCCGGACTGTCCACTGGACAGGGTTGAAGGCACAGGTAGAGGGTCATGCAGAGAAGGACCTGGGAGGAGACAGAGGCCGCGCAGCGAGGTGACCGGGAGGCGTGGAAGCGACCATAAAGGGCCCGTGGCCTGGCCTGTGACGGTGTAGTGCTCTGAAGGCAGCCATCCTCGCCCTGCTGTGCTATCAAAGTGTACTTTTCAGAAAAGGGTGCCTTGTGTTGAGGCCATGTGGGGGTGCCTCCCCCCCGCAAGGACATCCCAAGGCCCCCTGCCCCTCCCATTGCCAGACTGGGCCAACCCCAAGCTGCAGTCTGGCCCTGTCCCTGGCCATCAGGAGCCGGTGGGGTGGAGACAGAGGCCCCAGACATGGAGGGAGGCAGCCTCGCCCCTCAGGCCGCTCTGCAAGGCCATATTAATAGGTGACCCATTTATCTGGAGCCAGGGTTCAGGGCTGGCCTGGCCTGGCCGCTGCCCACACCCCCATCTATCAATCCAGTAACACAAACAGTTGCGAAGCAGCAGGACAGGCCTGGCTCCTAAAAGTGCCTTAGCAGGTGCCTTTGAAGCCTTATCTCCCGCCCCGCCTGCGCCGGGTAAAAGCCAGACTGCGGATCCCTGGGCACTTCTGCCTCCAGCTGTTCCAGGAGACGCCCTGGGGCACAGACCCTTCCCAGGCTCCAAGCCCTAGCCCCTCACATGCAGGAGAACTGCCTGGTCCGGGTTTGGGGAGCTCTGGGCTGGGTTTGGGGAGCTGCTTCTAGCCCCCTGCACCCCTGGCAGGTGCCCCCCAGCCCACTTGGGCCTTGGTCTCCAGCTGACGGTCGGGTGTGGAGCAGACCCTGACCCTGGGCTCGCTGGTGGTGAAGCCACGGTCTGTGGGTGTCATTCAGGCGGTCACCCTGAGGCTGCTGGGTGATGTCTGAGGGGGGGTGCTGCCTGGTTAGTGAGTCCCACTCCCCAGCACCCAGCGTCCTGGGCTTCAACAAACAAAATGAGTGAATGAATGCATGAATACGTGCAAGATATAATCTCATTTAATCCTCACATCGACTCTGCAAAGTAGGAAACTCTGTCTTTGGGTTACAGGTGAGTAAACAGGCTCAGAGAGCACCACTGTATGTCTGATTCTGACAGGCTACCAAGCAGGAGGTCAAAAAATTGGGCCCAGTCACGACCATGCATGTGCTCAGAGCCAAGCATACAGCAGAGAAGTAGTCCTTGGATGGCTGTGTGAGCAAATAGGTGAGTGGCCCACGGAGCAGCCAAGCGGGACTGTGGGAAGCTGCAACACCCACATGCACCCCCCCTGGCCCCTCGCGCCTCCACCCCGCAGCGGCCATCCTCCCCTTTCTAGTGTTTTCCCCTCCCTCTGCTCAGGGCTCTCAGAGGCTGACAATGCTGGCCTGGTGTCCCTCCAGCCGCTGGCTGGCCCAGTAGTGTCACCTGTCCCCTGGCCAGCCACAGGCGTGATTGTGGACCCCTGGTCCCTCCCATCCCCACAGGCACTCTCCAGCCAGGTGGCTTCACCCTCTCTGTTCCCCCCACTGTGTCCCCCACTCACTCCTCCCTCCTGTCCTGCACTCCATCTCAGGGCACCCTCATCACCAGGGCCTGAGCACAGTGGGCGCTCTATAAATAGCTGCCGGATGAACACGCCAGGTGAGATCTAAGGTTGCTGCACTGGCCGTCTCACCTGTACCCTGGCTGGTCCCACAACAGAGGTGCAGTGCGACCTCAGTGGCTGGTCACACACCTGCCTGACTGTGCAGCACTCAGTGAGCACCTGTTGCATGTATGTGTGCACGAATGAGCATCGGATATTCAGCGTCTGCACATGTCTGGGGTGGAGGGTGTGACCTGGCACAAGCCATGGGGAGGCCCCCATACATCAGGCTGTACACACACTGCCACATCACTCCCTTATGCAGTGCACACGCAAGCACACGCAAGCACATGAAAACGTCTCCGGCCTGCGCACAGATCCTCTCACAGGGCAGCCAGCGGGGGGCGTCACGCAGGAACACCCAAAGAGCTCTACGCTGACTCTGCTCCCTCCCAGAGCCCCGGCCGCCCTGGCAGCAGGAAGTCCCTCTGGGACCTCACCTGGTCCTCCTCTGAGCCCTGGGAGCTCCGAGCTGAGTGAGGGTCGGGGGAGTTGGAGGGGTGTGAAGGGAGGAGCTTGGGGTGGGGATGAAGGAGGTGTGGGCACTTGGGGCAGGGAGGACAGTGTGGGGGTATGTGCAGGGAGCGGGTGGAGGGTGGCATGGGGCCTGGGGCAGGGGTGCAGGGGCAGCAGCATGGGGAGGCCGCAGCCCTCAGAGGCCAGCTCTTTGCTGTGTGAGTGGGGCCACAAGGTCCCTGTGCAGAGAACAAACATGTAAACCACATGCCAGCCCCTTTCATACCCGAGCAGAACCCCTGGGCCCATCCCCACTGGGCCCCCCAACTTGCCCCACTCCTAGGCCTGACTGCTGTCCTCAGCGAGAGCCAGAGGGGCACCACTGGGCAGGGCAGCCCCCAGACCCAGTGGGGCCACTTCCAATAGCGGCTCCAGATTTCCGTCCCCTGAGCTCCCATGGGAACAAGCCCTGTCTCCTTATCCTCAGTTTGCAGACCGGGAACCCGAGGCCAGAAAGGTGAGCCCTCTGCGAGCCAGGATGTAAGGAGGAGGGGCCTGCTGCCCACCTGCACCAAGGCTACAAGAGAGAAGCCAGCTGCCTCCTGCCCGCCCCCCCCCCCCTCCACGTTGGAGGCCCCAGAGTCTCCTTGTTAACTGGCCAGAGGTGTGGGCCATGTGTTACGGAGAAACAATCCCAGCTCTATGTGGGGTCAGACCCAACCTGTTCCACCACTTTCTGCAATGGCAGAGCCTGTTGGGCGGCTTTGGGCCCTGCCTCCTTTCTGCTCCTGGCAAGGAGAGCCCAGAACCTGCCCAGCGGGTTTGGCCAAGTTGCGTCTTGCTGCCTGTGCAGCTTCACACATTGCTGCCTCCATCTCGGGCAGGAAGGTCCGCGGAGGTCAACACGGGCCGGCGAGGGGCCATGTGAGTACCCGGGGCCCGGGACCCTACAGCTCCAGCAGCTGGAGGCAGGGGAGGGGCTGGGGTCACTGTGGGGTCACCCAAAGCACCCCAGCCCCTGTTTGCTGGGCAGGAGGTGGGCTGGCCAGGCTGGTAAGAGGGGTGCAGCCACCTGTTCTGAGGTGCCTCGTCTAGGGGGAAGGGGACCCAGTGAGCTTCCTGGCCAGGGGCAGGGTGCAGAGTCATGACTGGGAGTGAGGGTCTGGGGCACCGGGAATGGGCAGCTGGCCAGGCACCTCATCCTGGATCTGCCCCACAGCTGAGTCCTCATGGGCGGGGTGAAGCCCTGGGGGTGAGGAGGGGCACGGGGCTGTGGGACAGGGCTGCCCTGACCTTGGTGTCTCTGGGGAGGCCTCCTGGGGGCCATGGTCCTGCTCAGCCTCCCCCAGTGAGGCCTCAGGGGTGCAGCAGGTAGCCCATGCCCTGGAAGTCAGGTTGCAAGGCCCACAGTTACCTGAGCCAAGAAGCAACCTCAGCCCACCTGGGAGCGCCCTGTCCTGCTCCTCTGTGCACGTGTGCATGCGCCTGTGGGATGCACAACTATGTGTGCACACGTGCATCATGCACACTCATGTGCAGCTCTCCCTGGGCCAGGGCAGTGCTGGGTGCGTGGCGGGGGAGGTGGCTGAGGGGAGCACATGTGTGTGTGGCACTCGTGTTGGGATGTGCTCTAACATGTGTTAGGATGTTATTAGGATCCATGTGTATGGGTGTGGGCATCAGGCGTGCATGTGTGTCACGGGCCTGTGTGTCTGGTGACGTTAGAAACTTCCCTGGCAGTGACACATCTCTGAACGACCTTCCACCCTGAGCTGGCCCAGGGGTCATTAGGAGGCCCCGTTTCTGCCCTGGCTGTGTCCTTGTGAACCTCTCTTGCTCCTCTATAAACAGGGTTGGCGTGGCCACTCCATGGGCAAGCATGAGACCCAGTGAGCCACAGCATGGAGCACCTATAGGGTGCTGGCATGTGGGCGCTCCCAGACTGGCCCCTGACCACTGTGTTTGAGTCCTGACAGCTTGAGGTGGCAGAGACCCCCCCCCCCTCCAGGAGCAAGGGACAGAGCTCACTTCTGTCTGTGTGGAGAGGGACACTGAGGCTCAGCCAGGTGAGTGACTGCCCAGCCGCGCAGAGGCCCCCTCAGAGGGTGGACAAGGACTCAGGGCCGGAGCCTGTGGAGCGGGCCAATGAGCACCTCCTCAGATGGCCGCACGCCCCGAGCCTGGGCACGCAGTGGGTGCATAAATCCCCACGCTGCACGTGCAGTGGGCTCCGACGGCGTGCCTGGCCCCATGCAGGCCCAGCAGGAGGTCAGGGTCCGTCACTTGGGGACGGTACATCCAGTGACCTCTCCACACTCCTTCAGAGAAGCTTTGGGATCGTTTTTAGTGCCCTGCAAGCATGTAGAGCCCTGGCACCATGCTTGGCACAGTGGGCATGAGGAAGCAGCAGCTGCTGCTACTGCAGCATCATCATGGTTGTTTTGTGGGTAGGTGGACAGACAGACAGACCGATGGCAAAGGAGCAGCGTACGGGCCGGCCACAGTGCTCCGGCATCGAGGGCTGCTGAAGCAGGACTGCCCCGGGCAGGGAGGCAGCGAGGGGCGAGGAGCCGGGGCCGCTGGCCCAGGAGCAGGGCCAGAAACCACACGCCTGGGGCTTGGCCGCTCAACCTGACAGCCCAGTCCAGGCTGGGGCTACAGCGGGGCCTCAGTGCCTCCCTGCGTGGGGGCCACATGGCACCTGCCCTGGCACAGCCACCAAGACTCAGTGGCCTGAAGTGTCTCTACAGTCTGCACCATCACTACAGATTTCTGAATTGGGGCGGGGGGCGGTGTCCTCCTGCAAAGGGCCTTCGTGGCAATGGGACCTGAACTGGCCCAAGAGGAGGGGGGTCCTGTAAGCAGAAATGGCAGTGCCGGGGCCACACGTGAGGGAGGCACCATCGGAAGACTGCAGGCGGGGCGCAGGGTCTCCATTTGTAGTCAACTGAGCACTCAGCCTGCCAGGCACTGGACTGAGCATGTCTCAGCTGGACGGGCGTCCCCTGGACATATCTCAGCTGGACGGGCGTCCCCTGGACATATCTAACCTGGATGGGCGTCCCCTGGACATATACAACCTGGACGGGCATCCCCTGGACATATACAACATGGACGGGCGTCCCCTGGACATATACAACCTGGACGGGCGTCCCCTGGACATATACAACCTGGACAGGCATCCCCTGGACATATACAACCTGGACGGGCGTCCCCTGGACATATCTAACCTGGACGGGTGTCCCCTGGGCACGTGTTACTGGGAAGGAGCCTCACAGTCCCTGATACGAAGGGTAGTGTTACGCCCAGATGAGGAAACTGAGGCTCTGAGAGGTAAAACCACTAGCCCAAGTTTGCACAGAAGGTAAAGGTAGGACAGGGCCGCTACCAGGGCTGTAGGCTTATGGCTTGGGCCCCCATGTCTTTATCGATCTGGCCTGGCTGACTCAGCATGGCCGGCCCACCTGCCCTTCCCTCCCACCTGCCCTTCCAGGGGCTCAGCCCCAGCAGAAACCTTGCAGCCTGGGCATCCAGAGGTGGAGGGCTGGGGAGCCCTGGCCTGTCTGGGGCCCTAAGGAGCACAACTCAGGTCTTTGCTTCCAAGCCCCACCCCCGAGAGCAGCTCAGGCCAACCTCTCCTGCGCACAGGCCTCCAGAGTTCTCTGAACCCCCAGCCCCCACTGCCCTGGGCACTCCTGGCAGACACAGAGCCGCATGATAGGGAGGCCCGCTGACCTCCCAGCAGGAAGCTACAACCCAGGGCCATGCTACCCACAGTGCCCTTGGAGGCTGACTGTCCACTTCGCCTCAGACAATGCACTCGGTCACCTGCCCTCCTGGGAAAGTCACACTGTCCCCATGGCACTGCCGCACGGGCTGGGTGGCCCTGGGCTATGTGTGCAGACAGGAGACTCCAACTTTGCTGTCAGCGACCTGCACAGGCCTGCCCCAGGGCCCTTGTCCATGCTGTTCCCCTGCCCAGCATGCAGGGTGTCTCCTGCCGCCCTTTGGGGACCCTGAGAGCAGTAGCTGGGAGGGCTGGCAGGGCAGTTTGGGGCACAAAGAGGAGCCTGGCGGGGCAGGGGTGGCACCCAACAGAGGGCACCACAGTGACCTCTTCAGGATCAATGTTTGCCTCTTGCTTGGACCCAGAGCCCACACAGGCTTCTCCCGGCCCATGACACCAAGGGCTCCCTTGGGCGCCTCCTTTATGGGCGTTGGCCCAGCCCACAGCCCACGGCCCACGGCCACCACAGGTGTTGGAGGGAAGAGGCGCCTGTCAGGCAGGTCTGGGTGGAATTTCAGGCGCTGCGGCTCAGCCCCTCCCCGGCCCTCCTCACCCTCCTGCTAGAGACCTGAGCCCATGGAGGCCCCAGTTCAAAGTCTTACCTTCCAGGGTCCCCACCATGAGGTCAAGGTCAGCACAGTGAGCACAGTGGGACTACTAGGACATGTCCTTTGTCCCCATGGGGTGAGGGTGCAGCATCCATAGCCCTCAGAGAAAGTTCAAACCCTGGGTTCCGCCTCCACTGGGCAGTTGGGGAGGGTGACATGATCTTTTGGGGCCTCAGTTTCCCCATCTGGAGAGTGGACTGTTTACGGTGTGGTCAGGGTTGGACTGTCATGAAAGTGACGGTGTGTACAGCGCTCAGGAAACGGGCCGATACCATTTATACCCCTTCTGCTCCAGCCCTGGCCTCCCCGGCCTCCGGAATTCAGCATCTTTGCTTCATCATCTGACACAGAGCCACCATGCGGGCACCCCCACTTCCCCGCAGCCCAGGCAGGTCTGGTAAACAAGTTTGGGGAGCCTGGCCTTCCTGCTGCTCCACCCTCCACCACACCCCCAGGCCCTGCACAGCCGGCTCCTTGGACACTGCAGGGCACAGGCTCTCACCTGTCCTCCAGCCGGGCTGTCTCCGGTACAGAAGCACAGCTTCCCACTGTTCTTTGACTCAGGCTCAAGGGCCTGGCTGAGAGCCAGACTCATGGTCTGTTACCCGGCGGCAGTCCTAGCCCTGTGCTTGCTGCCCCCGACTTCTCTTGGGGTCATAAGACCTGCTCCATTCAGGCCTTGTGACCCCATGGCACCTGCCACCCCCACTTCCGAGAGCCCAGAGCAGCAGGCTGGCTTTCCATTCTGCTCCCGTGTCACTCAATGACGGCAGTGGGGGCTGGGGCAGTCCTCTGGCCGGGGACATCTGGCAGTTGGCATTTGGGGTTTTCTAGTTTGGGGCTGTTTTGTAGGGTGCTGCTGCGAACTCAGACATCCTCAGGGCAACCTTTGAAATGCAAATGAGACCACGCCCCCTTCTGTGGCCAGCCGAGGGGGGATTCTGAGCAGAGGTTTCAAGGGCCTGCGCTGCACTGTGCAGAGTGTGTGCTGGGGCCCGGCAGAGGCAGGGAGCCAGGTGCAGTGGCCCGGGAGATGCAACGGAGTCCCATGGTGGCTTGGGCCCAGTGTGGGGTGGCAAGGAGGGAAAGATGAGATTCTGGGCATAAGTAGAAGTCCTGCCAACAGTTGCTACTGAGGGGTCAGTGCGGGCGGCCAGAGGGGAGGGCTCTGGGGGTACAGGAGCCTGGCTGTCTGTTCTCAGGGCCCAGGGGACCCCAGGGCTCCTCAGGCTGGGGACCAGGAGGGGCCACCTCACCGTGGCCTGGAGGCGAGACCCAGAGGGAAGAGGTCTCTGGCCTCGGGCAGGCAGGACAGGATCCTTCTGCTCTTTGTGAGACTCAGGGCCCCAGGGAGCTGGCCACAGACCCCACCCCTGCAGCGGGCATGCAGGGGGCTTGGCTCAGCCTCAGTAAATACAGACCTGGGGTCAAAATTAGCATCCACAACTACTCAGACTCAAGGTGGGCACAGAGAGCACTGGGCCTCAGCACCCTGACACGCACGCGCATGCACACACACACACACAGCATGCACACACGCGTACACACACATACACATGTGCGCGCATGTGCACACACATGCACAGTGCGTGTGCGCACACTACCACGCCAGGACAGAGCACACCAGACTGAGTGAGGGGGCCCCGTGCTGAGGTCTGAGCCTTGGCGGCCCTTGGCACCCCGTAGCCGGCAGTGTCCCCACCCCTCAGGGAAGGAGCTGCTGGAGAGAGTTCCCCAGAGGGGGCTGCATGTCACAGCCGGCTAATGGGCTCATGGAGCATGATGTGGGTGCTCTGAGCCACTGCAGGCCAGGCCCAGCCAAGGCTCCTGACCAGGGGCCCAGCCTCCCAGGCCTGGGGCCAATCTGCAGCCACAGAGGGAGGGGGAGATGGGGAGAGTAAGGGACATGCCTGCGGGAGGCCGGGATTAGGTGGTGGATATTGAATGGACAGGTCCCATCCCTCCTGTCCCCTCCAAGTTCCCCCAAAGTATGAAAGCTAAGAGCAGGACAGTGTAGAGGAGCCCACTGGGTCCTCAGTGTGGACATGACCCAGTGGGAGTGGGGGTGGTCCACAGACAGGACACTCCACCAACACCCACGGGGCCAGCACCTAGCCCCTCTCCAAGCAGTGGCCCATGACTGGACCCTACAGCCCATAGGCCCTTCCCAAGCCAAAGAGCCCCTCTCCCACTTCCTGCTCCACAGGCTGGAAACAGAGGGGCAGTAGGACCGAGGGGCACCCTGCACCTGAGCACAGAGGGGCCTGGCCAGGGCCCAGAGGGCCATGGAGAGCTTCATGGAGTCCCTAAACAGGCTGAAGGACATCCATGAGAAGGAGGTCCTGGGTGAGTGCCGCGGGGGCAGGGTGGGTGAGGTGGGGCTGGTCTCCACAGGTGGCTCTCACCTGGACCAGTGGCCTAAGAGCCGAGGCCAGGCCAGGGTGCCCCACACATCGCCTCCAAACCTAGGACCTTGCCTTCCAGGCCCAGAAGGAAGTAATGCCTCAGAGCCCAGAGCATCCACGTGGCCAGGTGCCCAGCCTCAGATCAGCACCCCAAGTGAGCCCTGCAGGGCTTCTCCCAACGGTCAGCCCAGGCCGAGTGGAAATAAAAAGCCAGGCCTGCTGCCAAGAGCCAGGAGCCTCCTTCGCTCAGGGCAGGGGTCTCGGCGTCCCCCGAAGCAAGGCCCCTCTCTAAGAACGGGAGCTCACGGGTCCGGAGGCCCGTCCAGGGCATTGATCTGAAACCCTCCGTTTCACTCCTGGACACCAGGCTGAGCTCTGCCCCGCCCACACACCTGTCCCTCCATTCCCCGGGCCCCTGGGCCCTGGCCAGACCCTCCTGAGACCAACCATCCCACAAGCACCCCCCCTCCCCCAGAGGTCCCCAAGGGCCTGGGTCACCTCCCCAGAGACTTAGAGAAGTAGGTCTGCTTGGGGCATGGAGGAGTCTGCCAGGGTCCCTCCCAAGAGCCCATTTTATTTCAATATTAGCTGCACCCAAATGTAATGCCCCTCCCAGGACCTGGCTAGGTGGTTTGTTACTCCCAGCTTCGAGGTCCCAACCAACCTCCAGACAGACACCAGAGTCAGAGCCCCCATGGGGAAGGGAGACGCTGGGCCCAGGGCAGCGATCCTGAGCAGTCCCGAGACTGAGTCAGTGAGGCGGTCCATCAGGGGTGCGGGTGTGGAGAGGAACAGGAGGTGCCCTGGGCTCTGCTGCAGGGGCTGCCTGCACAGCCGGCCTGACCCTCCACCCCTTCCTCCACCCTCCAGGCCTGCAGAACAAGCTTCTGGAACTGAACTCAGAGCGGTGCCGGTGAGTCAGACGGGCTGGCCCAGCGGGAACGGATGCGAAGGACAGCAGCTCACCAGTCACTCACTTCATCCTCCCAAATGCCAGGGAGCCCCCACCCCCACCTCCCCATGTACAAAGAGAAACAGGCTCCGCATGGGCAGGAGGGAGGGAGCCACTGGCCCATGTCATGCATCCAATAGCTGGTGAGCCAGGACTGCAAACAGGGACCCTCCACGGGGCTGGGCAAGCCACATCCACTCCAGGCGCCTGCAGTACCAACAATTATCAGTGGGAACACACGTCATGAGACATTGAGAACTGAGGGGAGGGGCTCCCCACGTCCAGATGGGGCTCAGTTCTGTAGCAAGAGAGAACTGCAGGTGGCAAGAGAGAAACCCCATCTCGTTGGTTCCCCCCCACAGGGATGCCCAAAGGGTAGAGGAGCTCTGTGCCAAGAACCACCAGCTCAGGGAGCAGCAGAAGGCTCTGAAAGACAATGTGCGGGTGCTGGAGAACAGGTGAGCCAGGTGCTGGGGGACAGGTGAGCCAGGTGCTGGGGTACAGGTGAGCCAGGCGCTGGAGAACAGGTGAGCCAGGTGCTGGGGGACAGGTGAGCCAGGTGCTGGGGTACAGGTGAGCCAGGCGCTGGAGAACAGGTGAGCCAGGTGCTGGGGGACAGGTGAGCCAGGTGCTGGAGAACAGGTGAGCCAGGTGCTGGAGAACAGGTGAGCCAGGTGCTGGAGAACAGGTGAGCCAGGTGCTGGGGGACAGGTGAGCCAGGTGCTGGAGAACAGGTGAGCCAGGTGCTGGGGCACAGGTGAGCCAGGTGCTGGGGCACAGGTGAGCCAGGTGCTGGGGCACAGGTGAGCCAGGTGCTGGGGCACAGGTGAGCCAGGTGCTGGAGAACAGGTGAGCCAGGTGCTGGGGCACAGGTGAGCCAGGTGCTGGAGAACAGGTGAGCCAGGTGCTGGGGCACAGGTGAGCCAGGTGCTGGAGAACAGGTGAGCCAGAACTCGGCCACCTGCTGGCCATTGTCCTGATTGGAGGGAGGGGGGAGGACAAGGGGTCTGTGGTTGCGTTTGGGAAGCTCTAGGGTTAAACTAAACCAGACAGCTTTCCCCCACCTTCCCTGCAGGACTTCTCAGAGCCTTAAGTAAACTGTATTTTCAAGGTTCCTTCCCAAACTTCGGGGATGGGGCAGGCTTCCACAGTTTGGGAAAGGCAGGGGCACATCCCTGGAGGGTCCCAGCTCTTCGATGGGCCTCAGTCTGCCTCTTCAGGGTGACCTCTTGCCTCCCCCACGCCACAGGCTGCGGGCCGGCCTGTGCGACCGCTGCACTGTCACCCAGGAGCTGGCCAGGAAGAAGCAGCAGGAGTTCGAGAGCTCCCTCCTCCAGAACCTGCAGCACCTCTTCATCCTCAGTGAGCTGCCTGCTGTCCCCTTCTGTGGGCCATGACCCCAGGGCCCGCTCAGCCTGACATGGCGCCACAGGGAAAGAGGGAAGGTGATCCTTCTGTCCGACGGTCACCCCACACCCCAATTTACAGACAAATGATACGAAGCCCCAGCTGGCCCTGGCACGTCCCTCATTCATCAGTCCCCTGCCCTCTCGGACTCAACTCCCCCTCCTGCGATGACGAGAGGCCCCTGAGGCCCCACGTGAGGAGAGCAGGCCCCCTTGACCTTGGGGGACATTCCGGGGACAAGGTCCCATCGCTTTCCTCAGCCTTAATGCTGGCGCAGTTTAGTCAGTCACATTCAACCGTCCCCTCAGGCAGCAAGCATGCAGGGGGCACCTGCGCATGCCCGGCCCCGGCCTGGGGGCAGGACCAGAAGGGAGACTTCCCGGGGCTGTGAGGGGCCCCAGGCCTTCGCTAATCAGTGTCTTTGCAGCCAATGAGATGACCCGACTGCAGGAGGAAAATGAGACCTTGAAGGAAGAGGTGGCCCGGCTTCGGGGCCTGGGGTGAGTGGGGAAGGCACCAGGGGCCTGAGCACCCTGATCCCTATACCCAGCTCCCAGCAGGCACCCGCCACGCGTCCATGGGGCACCAGGGGCAGAGCATGGGGGCACAGGACCCTGTGGGGGACCAGCCCAGTGCTGGGGTGGGTGTCCCATGGCCACTCACCATAGAGCCAACTCCCGACCTCAGAGCAACCAGCACAGGTGCCTTGTAAATGGACAGGAGCCCAGTGGACCCCTTAGAAACAGGGATGGTCCCCAGCACGCCAGCCGCTTTGCCACTCGGGCTCTGCACCTGGGGGCACATCTCGGGTGGTGTCAAGGGCCCTCTTTCTGGGTCACCTGGGTCCCCCTGCAGTGGTGGCTTGGCCCCCAGGAGGACACCCTGGCCTTTCTGATTGTGTCTGGGGGCACTGCCCTCCCTCTCCCCTCCCCTCGGGAGACAGACCCAAGCCCCAGTGCAGGGAGAGCTCCTCGGACCCCTCCTCACCCCCCCTGCTCATCTCCCCGGGCCCCTGGAAGGCCAGCACCGAGAAGCTGCCAGAAGGCCACGAGGAGGCCGAGGACCACCCCCTAGATGCCAGTCCACGGGGAGAAGGTGCTGTGAGGCTGGGGGCGGGGGGCGGGCATCCCAGGCCAGGGGGCCTCTGGGCAGGGGCTGAGCCATCTCCCAACCTGGCCTGTCCAATGCGTTTCCTCCCACAGAAAAGCTGGAGCACAGGATGTCTCCAGTGGCCAAAATCTCCCCGGGTGCCAACCTGCCTGAGCCACGGGCCTCAGACATGGTGAGGACAAGGGACCCCAAGCCACCTCTCCCAGCCCCAGCCACATGCCACGCGCTGTCCTCTGGGACAGACAGGGACCCCTGAGCTCCATTCAACATGGGTGGAGGCAAGGCTCAGAGCCGGTGGGTGACCTGTCCAAGGTCCCACAAAGAGCAAGGGCAGAGGGCACCAGCCAGCCCCACCCAGGCTGACCATGCCCACCCTGTGCAGAGCCCCCAGCATATCTCCAACCAGCTGCACGGGACCATTGCCGTGGTGCGGCCGGGGGCCTGGGCCTGCTCCGCTGACCGGGGCTCCACCAATGGGACGCCCTCTGCCCAGAGCAGCCCACCCAGCCCGCCTTACGAGCACAGCCTCTCCCTGGACAGGTGAGGTTCTGCCCACAGCCACCACCAGGAGTGGCCTCAGCTGAGCACCTGTCCCAATCTAGTCCCACCTTTGAGAGGGGGGCAGTGGCCAGGAGCCCCTCCATGGCACGGCAGGAGCTCATGCCCTCCCAAGGCTTTGCTTTCCTGGATACTCCCCCCATCACGAAGTCCCCACGGGGACCCTCCTGAACAGCCAGGATGGGTGGGGGGCTGCGGGGAGAGATGGAGCCAGCACTCCAGTAAGGGCAGGTACCTGATGCCCAGAAGGGGAGAGACCACAGAGCCCCAGGCTCCAGGTCATGTGGCTTGGCCTCCAGAGCGGGGGAGGGGGAGGGGCTAGGAACCCACCCTCTCCCCTACCCTCCCCCTGACCTGGCCGGCTCTCCGCACCTCTCCGGGCCTCCCTTGGGACATGGGGTTGAGCCCCTGTCATTGGGCTTCTTCCCACCCCAGCTTCCTGCGGGCCTCTCAGGCCTCCGCCAGGCCCCACAAGTCCCTGAAGCACGCCCTCCAGACTGACCGCCTCTGCCTCCTGAATCGCCCTCTGTCCCTGCACCTTCGGAGCCCCCAAAGCAGCCCCCGGGCCCCCGTCGCAGCCCCTGGCGGTCCCCAGCTCCAGATCCTGAAGGCCAGAGAGGCAGAGGCCTGGGAGGTGCCCTCAGGGCTACTGGGCCCACCGGGCACCCGGGTGGACATGCGGGATCCTCGGCTGGAGGGAGCACTGAGCCTGCTCCTGGCCCAGCAGCTACAGGCACGAAGACAGGCTGGCGGTGCCAGGATGAGAGGGCCTCCCAGGCCAGGGGAGACACCGCCCTCCCCTCCAATCTGTTCCGACTCTGAGGGGTCAGAGGGCGAGGTGGCCGGGGCAGCCCTGCCCAGGAGGCAGCACCAGCAGCCCACAGGCCCAGGCAGCCCCAGGGGACAGGAGGCCACAGCCACAGAGGACCTTGTTCCAGACAAGCCCCTGGACCTCTCTGAGTGGGGGCGGGGCCGGGATGGCCCCAAGCCCGTGGGCCGGCCAAGGAGGTTCAGCCCCAAAACTGCCCACACTCCCAGCCCTGAGCCGCCCCAGGGAGCCAAGCCACTTGCCCAGTCTGGACCTTGGGGGCGAAGCAATGGCACCAAGGGGGCCAGAGCACCAGGGCCAGAAGCGGCCCCCCCGCCCAAGGTGAGGCCCAGCCCTGGTCTTGCCTCATGTGCCCACACCCAGGCCAGCAGCTGGGCCCAGTGAGAAAGCCTGTTCCTGACGCTCACGCGCAGGGCAGGCTGACCCTCCAGCTGAGCCCAGCCAGGGTCCCAAAGGCTGTACCCAAGGCTGGGTTGGGGGGCAAGACAGTCTCCCCAAATGAATTCAAGCCACCTACGTGCTTCCCCTCAGGACTCCCCACATCCTCTCCCAGAGCCCCAGCCTAGCCTGCCATCTCCAGGCAGGACAGGAGATGAGTCCAGAGAGAGGCCAAAACCGTCCCCCCACCCACAGAGTCCTGATGCCAATGGCCTCCCAGGTAAGGGTGAGTGTTGGGGTCATGAGAGCCCAGCAAATGTGGCCCCAGGAGGGGAGGGATGTGCAGTGGTCTGCACCAGCTGAGTGTGGGCCTGACAGGCCAAACCCTAGGGTCCCCACAGGCAGACCTAGAAGGGAGGTGGGGGTCAGGGCAGGTGTGTCTCTGACCACAGGCCGTGAAGGAAAGGGCCCCAGCAATTAGAGTCTGGGGGCAGGGTGTGGGTTTCCCATTACAGTGGTCAAGCCAGGGGACACCCTAGCTGGTGGGGTCACTGTGCAGGCGCTGGACCCTAGGGCAGGTCACAGCACCCCTCTGTGCCTCAGTTTCCTCATCTGCAGAGTTGTTGCCACTCATCCTGGTCTGGCAGGCTAGAACAAGCCCTGCTTCCACCAGACTCCCGGGCCACCAGCCTGGCCTGACCCACGCCCTGCACCCCGCAGAGCTCAGCAAGGCCCAGGCACAGCGACCGCTGTCAGACAAGCTGGATGAGCCAGACGCCTCGGACAGTGAGGTGGGTCCCAGGCTCAGGTGGGGCCCCAATCTAGGGCTTCCCAGGCTCAGGGGAGGGTCCTGGCCCTGACCATACTCCCTCACCCCGCAGGTGGGCCTGAGCCCGGAGGCGGGGGCCACATCCAGCACCCCGGGGGAGGGGCCCAGGTGCTTCTGCACCAAGGAGCCCGGGCAGGGCCTGCAGCAGAAGAGGAAGTGGGTCCAGTCCTCTGACCTGTGGGACAAAGGTATGGGCCCGGACAGTGGGGGGTGGGGAGTCCCGCAGCCCCAATACCCCCACCCCACCTTGGGGAATGGCATCCTCCAATTGACTGGAACCCAGACCCTGAAACCAGTCCTTGGAGCTCTCCCAGAGCAGGACCCTTAAGAGGAGGAGGCAGGGGTCGGGCCTGGGTGATTCCTGGTCCACTTCCTCCTCACAGCAGCCCCAGCCAGTCCTTTCAACCTGGAGGGGTGGACTCCTGGACCCCTTTGGCCACCTTGATGCATGGGGTGTGTTTGTTCCACTGGGGAAGTGGGGGCTGCTCAAATGTGTGGTGCCTGTGGGCCCGGCTCCTCCTAACAGGGCAGCAGGAGCAGAGGCCCCAGCCCGAGGGTACCAGGACACCCCCACTTCCTGCTCTGGCCACAAAGGCAGCTTTGGCCAGGTGCCAGAGAGACTGAATGCATAAGCTAATAATGGATGCCGCCCTGGTGTTTGTCCAAACAGGTCTGCCACTAGGCAGGCCCGGCTTGGCTGCCACAATGCGCCATTGTTGCTGGGAAGGTGCCTGAGAGCCGTGTTTGCTCGGGCGAGCCGTGGAGGAGGCCAGCACACCTGCCTGATTTCCAGGCACTTCCTGCTGGGCATGATTTTGCCCAGTCCTGGTAGGCACAGTCCATAGGGGCGCACAGGTGTCTGCCCCACCCTGCACTTGGAGCTGAGCTGCCCAACCCTGGTCCTCCCACCTGGACCAGTGCAGGGGCTCCCCGTCAGGCACCGACACCTCACAATGGCCACACTGGTGGTCAGTGAGAACAGGGCCTTTGCCCAGCTTGTGGCCCACACCACTATGTGCCAGGCAGAGTGCCACACGGCTCAGCACCAGCAGCAGCGCCCCTGTAGCTTATGCCCATGGAGGGTGTCAGCAGTGTCCAGTCGTCACTGCCTCTGGGCCTCATGACCCTGCCCAGTGATGGACCTCACTGCCTCACAGGTGGGGAAACTGAGGCACCGAGAGGTGAGGGAACTCACCCAAGGTCACAAAACTGGTACACGGGGTCAGGATTCCAACCTGGTTCTGACCCAGGTCTGAATCTTGTCCCACATCAGAGACAAGCCTGGGGCATATGGCAGGTGCCCCCTGCGAGGGTCCCAAGGATCTGACACCCTCCCCTGTGGCCCCGGCCGAAGGCAGGCCCATGGAGGCACCCAGCCAGCGTCTCGGGATTCTGAGAGCCTTTCCCCCTCAGGGCAGGTTATCCAAAATGTGCCGGGCCCTCTCTCTGCAAAGCAGTGAGGTGGGGGGCCAGGGCTGGGCCGGCCTCAGGGCTGCACGCCTGGGGAGAGGGTCCACGCTTCCATCAAATTCCGATTGAGCCGCTGCGGCTCCGGGTCTGCCGCTGTCAGCACAAGTCACCTCTGCCAGGTGGGCTCTGAGTTCCCTGCCAGAGACTGCCCTCGAGGCCCTGGGGAGAGCCCGGTGTCAGCTCAAGGGAGGACCCACGAGGCCACCGCCGGGTGTCCCAGCCTAACCTCAGTCCACTTCCCACAGCCTCCAAGAAGCTGTCCTGAAGGAGAAGGACCCCCAGGGGAGCCCCTGACGCCAGCTGAAAGGCCCAGGAGCCCAAGACCCCAAGGATGACGGCCCCTCACCCAGCAACAGCATCTGGGAGGAGTCCTATTGCGCTCTGCCCGCCGAGGCCAGGACAGCCCACACCACCAGCCCAGCCCAGCTCAGGGGGAAGGAGATTGAATCCTGGCCACGTCCAGAGGGGCTGGGAAGGCCGAGAGGGAGTCTATAGCTGGTTTTCGGAACCTTTCTTCTCTACCCATCTTGATGACTGGCTGGACCTGTCATCCCACCTTCTTCCCAGCACCTCCTCCCTTGCGGGGAACAGGAGTTGAGAAGCACAGGAGGCAAAATCAGGCCCTAGCCCAGCCCCACCCCTGCAGCACAGAGACAGCCCTTACCTGGCAGCGCCTCTTCCCCCCCCCTCCCCCGCCCCCCATCCCTCCCCTCTACTCCACTGGCATCCCAGACTCCAAGGGCCCTGCACTCTTGGGCACCCCTTCCCTGAGGGGCAACGGAGCTGCAAGCATCGGTCTCCAGCGCCCCCTCGTGGAATCCTGCATACAGACGCTGGGCATTGAGGGCCTAGCAGGGCAGGGCTCAGGGAGGCTGAAAGGCAGTGGCTTGAGGCCTTTGCAGATAGGGTCCTCAGGGTGCTGGGAGAATAAAGGTGCAAAGAAGGATGGCCTATGTGGCTATCAGGGTCAGGGTCAGGGTCAGGGTCAGCCCTCTGCATGACCCAGTATTCCACCCTCAGCATCAGGCTATTCTGCCCCCCCAGGCCGTTGTCTCTTTAAGAGGGTGTATCTCAGAGGCCTCCAGGAAAGGAGCTTACACGGTTCCTGGGCCCACCCAGGCCCACTGGATCAGGATTTAAGAAGCTCCAAGTGACTTCTGGCTGGTGTAGCTCAGTGGATAGAGCATCGGCCTGCGGACTGAAGGATTCTGGGTTCAATTCCAGTCAAGGGCACATGCCTGGGTTGCAGGCTCCGTCCCCAGTGTGGGGCATGCGGGAGGCAGCCTATGGATGTGTCTCTCTCACATCATATCGATGTTTTTCTCTCTGTGTGTGTGTCTCCCCCTCCCTTCCACTCTCTAAAAATCAATGGAAAAAATATCCTCTGGTGAAGATTAACAAAAACAAAAAAATACAAACCAACAAAAAACCTCCATTCCCATCCGACTTGCAGGCCTGGGTGGTGAAGCCTCTTGGGCACTTTGGAAGGGCAGAGGGAAAGGAAAGGACAGGCTGGGCAGTGGGTGGGCCTGCCTGTGCTGGCAATGAGGCCACTAGGAGGGATATGCCAAGGTGAAAGGCGGGTAAGGGGCCTGCAGGGGAGCAGGCCATGCAGTGGGCCCTGATTGATGATGGTGATGACTCTCATGTCCCTCAAAACCAGAAACTTGCCAACGCATTTCCCTGGTGCAGGTCGATGCCCGCCTCCTCCCGAGACAGGAGCTGCAGAGGCAATGGGCAGCACACCCACATCATTCACTGGGCTGTATAACCAAACAGCAAATGCCCAGCTTCCAGCACGTGGCAGCCCAGCGCTGGTGACATCCTGACAATACCTGGAGTTGAGTCACACTCCCCACTCTATGGATAGGTGAGCCCACAGGGGGAAGCTGGGGCCGCAGAAGGCAGCACCTCGGCAGGAAGCCCTCAGCTCCGAAGTCAGGGGAACCCGGGTGCAGAACATTGAAGCCCAGGCCACTTTGCTGCTGAGGGAAGTGCAGGACTGTCCCAGCCTGCCTGTCACCCCAGACCCTTCTCCACTCAGACCCTCTGTCTCTTCTTCAGCCAACCAGGGAGGCCAGGTGGCACCACCGGCCATTCGGGGAGCCTTGGGGCTCCCAGGAGTGACAGAGAGGGCAGTTTGCAAACTGAAGGGCCTCCCACACGGCAGGGGGCACAGCTTCAGCCCCCCGCACCGGCACACACCCAAGAGGAAGTGCACTGGAGCCTAAAGGCGCAGGCTCGACGGAGACTGACCACAAACGCCGCAGCCCAGCAAGAGCCCAGCTTCCGAGGCGGGACTGGAACCGCAGCCCCGTCGCCGCGGCCGCCGCCACCACTCCACCCCGGGGCAGACCCCGCGAGAGCGCAGGCGAGCCGACCGCGGCGCCCGGGCCCTCAGGACGATCGGGCCCCCTCTAAGACCCGGGGGAGCCGCCCCGGCTCCGCGCTGACCAATGGGCGGGTGCGACAGCGATCATTTGCATGAGGGTGCGTCGTGGCCAATAGGCGGCGAGCGCGGGCGCGTGCGCGCGGGCGGTGGCGGCGGTGGGCGGCCCGCGGGCTCAGTCAGAGGATGGCCGCGGCCGCGGCGGGAGGAGCCCCCGGCCCGGCCCCCGGCCCGGGCCCGGCCGCCAGGGCCCCGCCGCAGGCGCTGCGGAGGCACGGGGACTTGCGGCGCCACCAGGCCGCGCTCTTCTTCCTGGACAACATCTCCCTGGACAGGCAGCCTGAGCCTGGGCCGGGTCAGCGAGAATCTCCCGCCTCCGCTGCCGCCCGCCGAGGCCCGCGAGCCGCCAGCGCCCCCGCCGCCGCCTCCCGGGCCCGAGCCCGCGCCGCCCGGCCCTCCCGGCAGCGCGGTCAGGGCCTCGGCGCCCCAGGGCCTGCTCAGCCCCGCGCCCGCGCCCGCCGGCCTCGGCCTGGATGCGCAGCGCCCGAGGTGAGTGGCGTCGAGGTGAGCGGGGCGGGGCGGGCGGGGGCGCGGCGGTGCCCGGGCCGTGAGCCGGGTGGGGCGGCCCGTCTGCCCAGGACGCGGGGAGCAGGAGGTGACCCCAGGCCCCATGGGTCTAAGATGTCAGGGCCGGGTCATCGGTGCACTGTCAACTCCCGAGACATGATGATGGGGCGTCCTCGGGCCCTGTCAGTCCCCAGACATAGGCGGCAGGGTCCCCTTCAACCTGCCAGCCCTAAATATGGGGTCACGGTGCTCTCAGCCTGGTCGGTGCCCTGAACGTGAGTTTCGGGGTTCCCTCCGCCCTCATCCACCCCCAGACGCAGGCCTGTGGGCTCTGGACACGCCCTCTCCCAGCCCACCGGTATGTCCCCTGGACAGAAGCCCAGGCGCCCCTGCTGTCCCCTGTGGGCCAGGGGCCGGCCCTGTCCCGGCCCAGGTGGCCGCCCCTCCGTCCTGAGTCCCCCTCCAGGAACCCTTAGCCCATCTGGAGCAGCCCCCACCCTGAGCTCAGCCCTGGGGCCAGACACCTTCCTTCTCCCAGAAGCAGAGCCTCAGGTTCCAGAGACCCTGCCTCCTTGGCCCCTCCCTCCCTGGGACCCTGAGGTGCCCCCTCACAGCCCTCCCCCAGGGATGGGCTCCTGGGCTGGGCCCCTGGACTGCCTGCTGTCACAGCCCTTCTCCTGGCAGGCAGGTGGCACCCTCAGGCTGGCCCTGAAGGTGTGCAGGAGGGGCCGAGTGCAGAGCCCCGGGTGCCCGCCGCCCCTGGAGTTCAGAGGTGACCCTTCTTACCTGAGGTCCCCGCGGCTGCACTGGTGTCCTCACCTCCAGCCCCTGGCCCTCAGGCAGGCCAGGGCGACGGGGTTCTGGTTGGGAGGGCTGCGCCCAGGGCACTTGGCAAGTGCGGGTTTGCTCTTCTCTCTGGGTGTGAGTACTGGGCAGCCCATGTGTGGTTTTAGGCGTCAGTTCAGCGAACAGTTGGGGCACCTGTGTTGTGGGCCAGACCCTGTGGACAGACAGCAGCCTGCCCGGACCCAGGCTGGCGGGAGCGGCACTGCGTTCTGAAGAGAGTGTATGGAGGGCCCACGCTTGGGAGGACGGGGGGCAGGCTGGGAGGTAGTTTGAATCGGTGTCCCTGGGCCTTCCTGCTGCACCCACACAGTCCCGGGTCCCGCCACCCCTCGCCTCTCCCTCCTCCTTGGTCTCCAAGTCCCGTCCAGATGTCCTTCCTGCTCCCAGGGCTGCACCTGTCCCCGTAGAAGTTGTCCCTCCTCGGGCTCTGCTGCCAAGCTCAGGGCCCTGCCCTTGTGTCTGGGGGTCGCCTCCCCCCTTGACCGCTGGCAGGCCCCGGGGTCAGGGCTGTCCACTTCTCTCTGTGCTCCCCAGGCCTCAGCGGAGTTGCTACTGAGTATGGGAGGGTGGCCAGCCTCACACAGTGGCTTCCAGCCGCTGGCTTTAGACAGTTGTTTTCTAGGGATGGAGAGAATTCTGAGGTTCTCTTCCCAGAATGTGTTGTGCCTGTGGTGCTTTGAGCCAGGCTCTAGCCCAGTGACGGCGAACCTTTTGAGCTCGGCGTGTCAGCATTTTGAAAAACCCTAACTTAACTCTGGTGCCGTGTCACATATAGAAATTTTTTGATCTTTGCAACCATAGTAAAACAAAGACTTATATTTTTGATATTTATTTTATATATTTAAACGCCATTTAACAAAGAAAAATCAACCAAAAAAATGAGTTCGCGTGTCACCTCTGACACGCGTGTCATAGGTTCGCCATCACTGCTGTAGGAGCAGACCTGGTGGAACCCTAGCTCCACCATTCAGTGGCTCTGTGACCTTGAGCATGGCTTCTCTGGGCCTCAGTTTGCTCCCCTATGAAATGGATTTGCGTTTAGCACTACGTGCCTGAGAGGCTGTTGTGAGGTCAGATGAGTGTCCAGGGCTCAGCGTCCAGAGCTCAGCGAGGGTGGCCGTGGTGGCGGACAGGCGAGCAGAGACCCTGGTTACAGCCAGGCTGCAAAGTGCTCCGGCTCAGTCCAGTCCTCAGGGAGGCTCAGTCCGGACACTCGGGGCTCAGTCTGGAGCAGCTTTTTCTGCTCAGTCAATGAGTGAGTCCTCAGGACCTTAGTTTTCAGTCCTAGGACTTCTAACACAGTGTTTGTTTTCATTTCAGCACGTAATACGTGTGCACGTGCGAGCCGGGTCAGAGCAGGCTCCCCGCCCGTCACAGCCTGGTGCTCCTCTCCTACCCTCCTTTCCCACGGGAGGGGGCAGCCCCCCCACTGGACAGCTTGCAGTACCCCAGGGTTTCCTCTGCCCTCTAAGAGATCACAAGTCAGCAGGGTGAGGGCAGGGCCTTGCTCCCTCCAGGGGCCCCAGGGGAGGTTCCGAATCATTGGCACTGGCACCTGTGAGGTGCCCGATATAGAAGGGTAGTCACTTCAGTGGGGGTGAGGGGGTCAGTGTTCTCAGATGGCCTGTAGCCCCTTCCCAGAACCCCTCACTCGGCCTTGGTGGTCTTCAGGCCTCAGACAGGAGCCCTTCCTCCGCTGGGCTTTCTTCATTTACGAAGTGCAGGAAGTTCATGGGCACTGCAGACGCTAATGAGCAGTGGTTTCTCTCCTGGCTGTGAGCGCGCTGCAGTTAGAGAAGGAGCCCTGAGAGCCGATGCAGGAGTCGCCTGGAGTCCAGCTCCCCATGAGCGGGCAGCAGGGCAAGATCCATGTGCGGGAGCGGGAAAGCTCCACCTTCCCAGCTCTGTCCCTCAGGCTCCCCACCTGTAAACTGAGGGTAATAATACCATCCACCTGGTATTAGTATTCCCTTCCTCGTGTTTCAAGGAAGGTAGAAGAAAGTCACCGACAAAGGTCTGTGAAACCAACTGGGAACAGATTTTCAGACATGGATGGCGCCATCCCTGCAGTAACCGGGGTCAACGGGAGAGCGAGCTGGGCTGGAGGCCAGGCGGCTGGGGAGTGTGGGTGCTGCTCGTGCTGCAGGGCATCTGCCCAGCGCCTCACAGGGACTGCTGGCGGGCTCTACACATGAGGTCCCAGGTGTGCGGGAGCCATTGGGCACCACCTGGCAAACTCCCTGAGTAAATGAGCCTGAGAAAGTCCCACGGGCTGCAGAGGCCCCGCGGCACTCCTCCCTCCGCGCCCCCACCCCCGCCCACCAGCCTGGCTGGATCCATCCTGCATGGTCCCCGTCTGTATTCTGAGCCCTGTGGCATCTTCTTTACAGAAGGCTAGTTGCCTCCCAGCGCTGCTCCCTCCAGTTCCTGGAAGACACCGTGGGATGTCCCTCAGTTCAAAGGTAAAGATCCCGCCTGCTGCCTGAGAGCCCTAAGGCCCTGCACACTCCGCCACCACTTGCCTGGGGGCCAGAGAGGGTCCTGGAGGGATGAGTACTTGTTTCTCACCTGCAGAACCAAGCACATACCCGGATCCCCCAGACACAAGGGCCTGAAGAAGACTCACTTCATCAAGAACATGCGACAGTATGACACCAAGAACAGCAGGTACCGGCCATTGTGGGGCTGCCTACCGTGTCCTCCATCAAACCTTGGGGGCCGACTCCTGCCCTGGAGCCACAGGGAGAGAGGTGCTCGGCGTCTCAGCCATACATGTCCCTTTCCAAGTGTACTGGCCTCCCTCCAAATTAGCTGAGCTCTAAGTCCATGGCTAGCTCACTGCCTCTCCCTCCCCAGAACCCTGGGGACACCAGACTTAGTGGAGGTGCTGAATGAAGGGACATTGGAGCAGGTGACATGATGGGACGCATCCAGGATAGAGGGCTTGGTGTCATCCAGGAAGCATTGGGGGCGTGGGGCGGTGGACTAAAACCTAAACATGGCTGCCCCAAATCACTACCGTGGCAGCAGGTGCACCTTCGGAGGCCTGGTGCCTGCAGATGCTAGGTGAGGGCCACTCCTGTCGCCTGTCCCTCATGCACCACCCTGCCAGCCCTGAGGCATCTGAGCTTATCACCCTGACCCAAAGGGTCCCCACACCGTTCCCCCTCCCATGGGAGGTCACGCTACAGGCGCCCACCCTTCCCATTAGTGGCCATAGGTTGGACAGTCCTGGATCCCTCAGCATGAGGGGCTGGGCCTAGTCCTGAGGAGCAGGCACTAAGCAGGCCTGAGAGCCCGGTGGGCCTCAGTGGGTACTGAGTGCCCAGTCATCCAGCCAGAAAAGCGGGAGCCTCACTGTTGTCCTCCTGCTAGACTGGGGCTTGGCCGGGCAGAGCCATCCCAGAGGGGGAAGGCTGTCCTTTCCTGCTCTGTGCTCCATGCCGGGGCACCTCAAGGGTCACTTTGGCTCGGGACATTGAACGGATGCTTTTTGACACTATTAGTCTCCCACCTTCCCAGTGTGGCTGAGGAGGGGCTCCCCGAACCAAACGGCCCTCTGGGCACACACTTCTGCCCCGTGTTTACTCCAAAGCCTGACCTCTCGAACTAGGGTCCTGACCTCTGGCCTCCACCCTGCCAGGGGCCAGGTGAGATCCTTTCTGTGCAGCGTGTTACGTGTGGGGGACCAGTGAGAGCTGGCATGGCCAGACCCACTGACCCTGGCCGCTGGGCCTCTTGGCCTGAGAGTCCCCTGGACAACTGGGGTGGTTCCTGTCACCAGAGTCTAGGCGGGAAGGAATTCTTCCCTCCCCAGGAAACACCTGCCACCTGTTCTGACCCAGCTCTCCCCACAGGATCGTGCTGATCTGCGCCAAGCGGTCCCTGTGTGCGGCCTTCTCGGTCCTGCCCTATGGAGAAGGCCTGCGGGTCAGGTGAGTGGCCCCAGAGGCACAGGCTGGGCTGGACCAGGCTCTTGGCAGCCTCACAAGGTGGTCAGCAGATCAGCTTCCACTGAATCTTCTCAGAAGCTCTGCCCCTCTCCTGGTTCTCCGGGAGGGGGGTGTGCGCACCTTACTTCAGTGTGAGCTGCCTAAATGTCAGTGCCGAGACATGTCTCCTCGTGTGGGCACTGCATGCATCCTTGTGACCCGTCCAGGCAACTGTGTCCTGCGTGTAATCCAGGAAGAAGGAGATGGCCGTCAGGGTGGAGAAGCCTCCTGCCCAGTGTGACTACAGGGTGGGGGACACACCCCTGAAGATCGGGCGTGGCCTAAGCTGCGGCACGGCTGCGGGGCCATATTGTTGCCAACCGGTGTTTTAACAGGAAGTGGCTGGTTCTAGGGAAGGAGAGACTAGACAGTTCTTAGGACAAGCATCCTTCACTGTGTACCCAGTGAATCTAGTGCCGCTGTTCTTCCAATGAGAACTCGTGCCCGCACGTCTGCGAGGTGAGGTTCTGCTGCCCCACCCGCTCGGGCAGAGGGACCCAGCCTCTCTCCGGTGCCCTGTGTTGCAGTGACCTGAGGGTGGACAGCCAGAAGCAGAGACATCCGTCCGGTGGCGTGTCTGTTTCTTCCGAGATGGTCTTTGAGCTGGAAGGTGTGGAGCTGGGAGCAGATGGAAAGGCAAGAGCTGATGCCGTGCACACAGGCCGGCGGGCGCAGATCTCACGTTATGGAGGAAATGAGCACATGAAGTTGTGCTTCCCTTTGATCTTCTAAAATGCAATGGGCAATGGGAGCAAGCCACAGCCCTGTAAGAATGGGTCTCGTCCTCAGCACTGGTGGTCGGAGGTCAAGGGCATCAGAGGCAGGGAGAAGGTTCCTGAGCTACAGATCCAGATAAGAGTTGGTGAGGGTGACGTTCTGGAATGTTCTTGTTACTGAGAACACTAACATCAGGCCTGCGCTGGGCCACAGAAGGGAGTGGGGGGTGGGGGGGTTCCTGCAGCAGCAAGAGGAGCCGGACTGACCTGGCCGTGCTTATCTTTCCAGGTCGTATCTTATGCCAAGTTCCTGTACCCTACCAACGCCCTGGTCGCACAAAAGACAGACAGCCACGGCCCGCCACCCCAGCCCCGGACCAGCATCCCCAGGGCTATGCCAGCATCAAGATACAAACCTGCTGCTGCCAAGTCCGCGCCGATCAGCACGGAGCTAGGTACCCTAACCAGGCACATGGGGGCAGGACAGGCGGCTACGCCAGCCAGGCCAGTGACCCCGAGGGGCACATTTGAGCCCACAGCCCTCAGTCTAGACAGAGGCGGGTTTGGGGCGTGGGATTGGGGTACAGCCTTTCAGAATGGAAGGAGGGACTCGCAGTGGAGCAGACCCAGCCAGGCAGTGAAGAGAAGTTGTGTCCACAGATGGCTCTGGGGCAGAGGGCGGGGGGTCCATCCTCATCAGGACGTCCTTCCCTCCCACCCATGCCTAGACCCCTCCCAGACCCCAGGACCATTGCTTCCCGTTCCTGGAGAACAGCTGCAGCCCCAGTGGCTCCTGGGCGCTACACAGGTTCTGCTGAGGCTTGGGTTGATGGGAACTGGACACCAGAGCTCGGGGCTCGTGGTGGGTCAGGGCTGCCTTCTGCCTGCAGGGAGTGATGCAGGGGATCCCCTGGAGTATAACCCCAACCTGCTGGATGACCCGCAATGGCCCTGTGGCAAGCACAAGCGAGTCCTCATCTTTGCATCTTACATGGTACGGCGAGCACCAAGTAGCACTGCCCCTCAGGCGCTGGGGGGTGGGCTGTGAGCAAGCGGCCCCAGCACTGGGGAGCCCAGCACCATCAGGGCAAGGCTGATGTGCCCTCACCCCCAGTACACCAGCAGCACCGCGGGGAGGGGGTGTGCAGCAGGCCAGAGAGCAGTGCTGGCCCCACCACCCTGGGGTTCAGCCCACGTGCTCCACAGCCTGGATCCCTGCTGTGCATTCAGCTCCACTGCCCGCTGTCCAGAGGAGTGTCATTCTCACAGACCTGGTGCGCTCTGAAGGCTCAGTGCATTCACATTTGCAGGCCTGACCGCGTGAAATTGCCTCAGTGGCCCGGCCCCACCTGCTGCCCTCTGTGTTTCAGACCACGGTGATTGAATACGTGAAGCCCTCTGACCTCAAGAAGGACATGAATGAGACATTCCGAGAGAAGTTTCCACACGTCAGACTAACACTGAGCAAAATTAGGAGGTAGGGAGGACCAAGGACATCCCCAAAACCTACTTCATTTTTTTTTTAATGTTTTTATTGAATTTTTTAGAGAGAGAGAGGGAGAGAGAGAAACATCAATGAGAGAGAAACATCGATTGGCTGCCTCCTGCACACCTCACACTGGAAATCAAGCCCACAACTCTGGCATGTGCCCTGACTGGAAATCAAACCAGTGACCTGTTGGTTCCTGGGTGAACAATCAACCACTGAGCCACACCAACCAAGTGGCCCAACACCCACTTCTAATGTGTGTCATCCTATGAGGTCCTGTAGGCCTATCTTCCCATTTCCCGTTGATTCCTGAGCCTGAAGATCCAGATGCCCCCTCCCACCCTCTGACCAGGCCAGGAACACACGCACGCACACATGCACATGCGTACACATGCACGCCTCTGCCAGTCAGGCTGCCTGTTTGCCTCTTGCAGCTGCCCCCACCCACTGAGCTCTCCTCACTAGTGCCCACAACACCCCATGAGGCAGGCACCGCCATTGTCTCTATTCAGTAGAGGAACTCGCAGGCCAAGGCAGCTTGCCTATAGCCTCACAGTGAGCAAGTGCTGGAGCTGCTGGCCGAGGCAGGGCTCCTGGTCACTGCCCCTTCTGGGGTCCTGCGCTGCCAAATCCTACTACTAACATCCCACCCCAGCAGCTCCAGGGCTCCTAGGGTCCTCTTGCTACCACAGGAGAGCAGGGACTTTGTCCTCTGTGGCAGCCCCTAGAGGACAGTGTGGGACACCTGGTACAGTGTGGGGGGCACGGGGGGGCGGCGTAGGACTCAGCCAAGGGGCAAGTGGGGCCCAAGACCAGCACACTGCTTACCCACCAAGCCGTGGGCCCTGGTGCTGGGCTGCGCCCGCCTGGAAAGAACAGAGCTGTTCTAATGGCCCTGTGTCATGGAGGGGGTGGTGTTCCTCCACCCCAAGAGCACCTGATTTCCCTATAAACCTGCAGTTTAAAACGTGAGATGCGGAACCTATCTGAGGAGTGCAACCTGGAGCCTGTGACTGTGTCCATGGCCTATGTGTACTTCGAGAAGCTTGTCCTGCAAGGCAAGCTCAACAAGCAAAACCGCAAGCTGTGCGCAGGCGCCTGTGTGCTGCTTGCTGCCAAGATCAGCAGTGACCTCCGCAAGAACGAAGTAAAGCAGCTCATAGACGTGAGTGCACTTAACCCTTCCCTGGCCCCCCTGACCCCCCAGCCCCTCCCCAGCCCCCACTCCATCCTCAAGCCAGTGCTGCCCCACCCAGGCCTCACCCCAGCCAGCACTTATAAGGCTGGGCACTACCCCTGGAGAGGGAGGTCATTGCCCACTAACCTGGAGCGGGGCCAGCCGCCACTCCCAAACCTCCTGGCTTAGGAACCAGAGCAAGGGACCTCGGCTTAACCCTTCTCTCTTCCTCAATGCAGAAGTTAGAAGAAAGGTTCCGATTCAACAGACGGGATCTAATTGGGTTTGAGTTCACAGTGCTTGTGGCCTTGGAACTTGCTCTTTATCTTCCCGAGAACCAGGTGTTACCTCATTACAGACGCCTCACACAGCAGTTCTAGTCTGCTGCCCACGCCACTCGGCACACGGCTTGTGGGCCCCAGGAGCTGTTCCCAGGCAGTGAAGTGCACCCCTGGCCCCCGTGGCCTCACCCTCCCAGCTGGGACACACGGACCCTGCCTTCACACTTTCTTCCTTGGGGGCCATGCTTTCATTCCAAAGCACCACATCACCATGGTATTTTGGGGAATATTCCTGCATTCTCATGTGGACAGAATGTGGGATTTGTCATTTTCCTTTTTTCACGTGCCTGAGACTGGCCTGGCACCAGGACCCGTAATTTATGCCTTGGATCCTGACGTCATGGCATCTTTCTCCTTTGCATTGCCTTGCCTTCCACATACCATTGTAGCCACTGAATGGCATCACAGTGGTGACTGTTTCCAGATGCTGCTGAGCACACTCAAGTCCCTGAAGCTAATGAAGTAAAGCATTAATCTTGACTTTCCAATTTCTGGATGTGGAAAGCACTGGAACACGCCCTGCCCAGCCCACTGTCCATTCCCCTCCCCACATCCACAAGCAGAGTAAAGAGCAGACTCCTGGTTTTGATGAGTTTTACTCTTGGACCTGTTCTTCCAAGCATCATGTCACTGTGAAGTCCTCGCACCTGAGTGTTCGCAGGCCAGCAGGCCTCTGCAAACACAAGCTGCCTCACCTCATCCAGAAAACCCACCGGCCTGTGACACTGGATCTTCAGATGACTGCATTGCGGGAGTGTGGCTTTTGATCTTAAGCAATATTATGACAGAACAGCCTATTGTCATTTGGGATTCTGTTCTGTAGGTGTTTCCCATAAGGGAACACAAACTAGTCACATGTGTGAAGCTGTGAGTTGAAACCACACTTGCTCAAGCTGTGAGGAGACTGACTACTTCACAGCCCACAGCACAGCCTCCCCCAGAGGTCGGCTCAATGCTTCTCCCAAGGCTGTCCCGGACCACTGGCCGGTGCAGTTGCACTCAGACCCCAGCTGCCAGTGATCCTCACTCCTACAAAGGCCCATGCTCTGCTTTTCCAGGTTTGTTGTCCTTTGCACGAACTCTGTTGTCCAGTTCTCCAGCTCGCTGCCCCACCAAAAACACGTTAAGGACTGGTGAGTCAGCTGGCCTGAAAGATGGCCATGATCAAGCTGCTCCTATTGTGCAACAGACCTGTGACTGGAGGGGCCCTGGGTCGGCCCCCATCTTGTACTCTCTCTGTGTGGGCTGGTGCTTTTGCAGAACAGCCAGTTCTGCTCATCACAGCACCCAACCACCAACAACTCAGCCCAGACCCCAGCAGAGGTGCAGGCCAACCACCCATCCACTTGCTGCCTGCAGGTCTGTTCCTTCTGCCACTCAAAGGAAGACTGGGATGGAGGACCACGCCTGTGCCCATGGTCCAAACTTACTGCAGTGTGCCTCCCTCTCCAAGATGGCTTCCTAAACCCAACATGCAACCAAGCTAGATCTGAGGGTGTAAGGTGCTAGGCCCTGGCAACTTCTGGAAAGCAACCTGTCCTGCCACCATATATCTCAAGAACACTTGTGTTACAAGCACTGTAAGGGACTCTTCAAAACGTCCCGGTTTACAGCTTAGCCTTGAAGGACCTGTCTTTTCAGGAATTTCTATACGGACTAAAGTTAGACCAGCTGAGAAATATGGTAATTTAAGTTTGCACATTTATGTAGTAAGATCTAGTCATTTGCCCATCTCATCTGTAACCTTCCCAGCTGTGTCCTTTAGTAATGCTGGAGCTGCCACTGTGTGGTACTCAAGAATCCCTGCAGAAAAGCCAGTATTTAAGCCAAACCTCAGCCTGAATCCCTGTCCTCTAGAACAAGGCCCAACCGACCTCTGAGTTGGTCCACGGCCCAGTGCCACTCGCTCAGAACCCAGTAGCAGTTGTGGATTTTAAATGTGCGTTAAGCAACTATCTGACCTCAATGCCAAGTTGTGTCACAAGTGTGTTTGTATTTGTGCTTTAAAGTAAAATGGTTTTGCAGCATATTTTATAAGTCACCTCCTTTCAGTGAGCTGACCGCCTGCCTCCTCACCCATTCACAGCAGAATGTCAGCTCTAACCCTCCAGAGCCCAGCACAGAATGAACCAACATGGAGGGGTGTTTCCACTATTTATTTATGACAAATTTCACATCTGTGATGCCTTCAGTCAGAAGTTCCTAAACAAAAAGGAAAAACAACATTAAAGCCTCGTCTCCGGAAAAGTCCCAGCCCGTCCCCAAACTTGACTTTGAGATGGCTTACTTTGAGACGATGCCGTCGGCCTTGGCCAGTCGGAGAATGGAGTCATCTGACTCACCCTGAGAAAAAGCACATTGGAACTATGAGCTGGCAGGAGGTCCATCAGGGACCACCCAGCCCTAGTGGCGGGCTCTCTCCCAGTCTCACTACTCAGACCTCACTGGACAGGGAAAGGCCTTTGGAGATGGAGTGTGATAAGTGGGAGGTTCCAAGGTAAAAGGGTGGTCCTGCTTGGGGCCTTTGAGCATCCTTTCCACCCTTCACCCCACCACCCCCCCGGAATAGGCAGACAACCAGTGCAACCCAGTCCCATAGGCTCAAACCTATTCCAACAAATGGACTCAGGCCTGAGATAGTCTAAGACACCATTCTCCATTGCCCCACCCCCAGAAGCCCACAGATGAGCCACGTCCAGGAGACTCACCATCCTGCGGATAGCCCCGCAGATAGCATAGGTTTTAAACTGGCCGTTGAACCTGCCTGTCACCTTGTCAACCTGTTGATGGAGATTGAGGATCATCAGACGGGCACTCGAGCTCCTTTAGCTCTAAACCTGGGGTCGGGATCATCAACCCCGGGGCCAGCCCAGACCTCGCTCTAGTCTGGGCTGGACCTCGTCCAAGCCCCAGCGCCCCAGGCTCACCTCGGCCACGTTCATCTGGATGGACGCGTGGTCCTTGGCGCCGATGATGCGGTTGCTGGCGGAGCTGCGGGGAGAGCGTAGTGAGCGGAGGGGTGGGAAGTCACAAGTGTTTGTATTGGCGTTTTAAAGTAAAATGAAATGCTGCGGCGCTCACCATTTCCGCGGCACGTACAGGTCCACGAACTCGCCGGCGTCGTTCTGCATGTCGAGTGCGCCTACGAGACCCCGCGTGTGAGAACAAGCTGGGTCCGCGCGCCCGGACCCGGGCCCCGCGCCTTGGCCTCACCCCGACCCCCGGTCCCCGCGCCGTGGCCTCACCTCAAACCCCTCGCACCCGGACCCCAACCCCGCGCCATGGCCTCACGCCGACCCCCGCGCACCCGGACCCCAACCCCGCGCCATGGCCTCACGCCGACCCCCGCGCACCCGGACCCCAACCCCGCGCCATGGCCTCACGCCGACCCCCGCGCACCCGGACTCCAACCCCGCGCCATGGCCTCACGCCGACCCCGCTCGGAATCCCGCGGAGCCGGCACTGGGCCACGCGGCCTACCTGCTGCCACCACCACGAGCGCGTCGGCAGAAAGAGCGCGCTACGTCCCCCGGCAGCACTAAGACGGGCCGGGCGGGGCGGGGCCTCGGCGAGTGCTTCCGGGTCCCAGCGCGCCCGCGAGTCTGCGCAGAGCCTGGCCGCTCCCCCCGCCCCCGCTGGCGCACTTCCGGTTCCGGCGGGAGCAGGCGAGGGCGGAGGCTGGCACCTCGGGCAGCGAATGGGTGGCCGGGGCCTCTGCGGTGCCGGCGGACCGAGGTGTCGCCACCCCTGGCGGGCCGGAGACCCCCGCGTCGGCGAGGGCGGCGCGCGGTGCTAACGGGCGGCCCGGGGTGTTCGTCGGCTGCCGGAACGCAGACCCGGTCCTGGGAACGGACGCCGCGGAAGCAGCCGAGTGAGAACACTCGGGTGATGAGACAGACGGTGAACAGAGACGGAGCAGCGCGGCTCGTGCCGGGTCCTCCGCGGGGCGGGGCGGGGCGCCGTCCTGGGACCTAGAGGCCAACTCCTCGGAGTAGGAGGCCCGAGCGGCCGGCGCTGGGCCACGCCTGGTGTCAGAACCAGGTCAAGCCCACAGCCCTTGCGCTGCACCCTCCGACCGCTCCCAGGACCGCCGCCCCGCTCCCACCGCCCCGCTCCGGCCCTCCAGAGTCCTGGTGCCAAGACCCATCAATAAAGAAAATAGGAAAACCCCAGACTGCACAGCTAGAGCCCCTGTGACACGTGTGAGGGCAGCCGGCTAAACGGGCTCGGGTGAAACAGAAGACCCTTTCAGGACGGGCTTGAGACCATGTACATCCTGCCCCCCCACCCACCCACACACACACACACACACACACGGGGGGGAAGCCCTAGGCGGAGCCGGAAAATAGCCCTCATCCGCCAGGTCAGCCCCACATCACCTGCCCACCCAGGGCTCTCACCCGGGGCTGCTTGCGCCTGTGGGATAATGTGTAAAGGATCCTGGTCAGCGGGCCTCCCCGCGCCCTGTTTGAGTGACTGCCAGCTTTATGGCTCAGGGAATTTCGCATGTGGGGCTGCAAGTCCCCTCACACCCGGAAACCAGTGTTTGTGAGGGCAGTGTGTCTGCTGTTGCTTCCACTGGGCTCCCAAAGCGGGGCAACAGGAGTGAGGTCACTGAGCCCGGGGTCTTCTAAGCAGGTCTCATGTAGGCCCTGAGAGGTGGGTGCTATGCACCTGGGCATGTGCACAGACATAACGTACGTGCACATGATTTGTGTGTGAGGCTGGGGATCGGCACATCTGGCCTGCCTGTCTGTGTCTGTGTGTGGGTGAGCCCAGCTGGGCCTGGTGATGGAGGGATTTTCTCTGTAGCTGGGAGGCAGGAGACAGGCAGCTTGAGTACCAGAGTGGCAGAGGGAGGTCTGCAGAAGGTCTCCCTTGAGTATTCAGCAGAATAGAGAGCCCAGAAAGCCCTCACATATATGGTCAAGTAATTTTTGACCAGGGTGTCAACACATGGTGTTGGGAAAACTGGACATCCACATGAAGGGGGAAACTGACCCTTACCTCACACCATATACAAAGTGACCTCAAAATGGATCAAGGACCTAAATGTAAGACCTTATCTCTTACAAGAAAACTAGGACCCAAACTTCATGACACTGGACTTGGCAATGACTTCTTAGGTAGGTCACCAGAGGCCCAAGCAGCAACAACAAAAAGGACAGTCGGACTTGAAATTTTTTAAATTTGTGCATCAAAACTATCAACAGAGTAAAATGGCAACCCACAGAATGAGATAAAATATTTGAAAATCACACATCTGTTAAGGGATTAGTATGCAGAATATATAGAGAAGTCCTAAAACTAAACAAAAAAAAGCAACTTGATTCAAAAATGGGCAAAGGGCTTGAATAAACATTTCACAAGAAATAAGTTGACCAATGAGTACACTTAAAGATGCTCAGTATCACTAATCATCAGGGAAATGCAAGTCATAGCTATGAGATAGCACCTCACACTTGTTAGAATGGATACTATAAAAAAAAAAAAAAAGCCCTGGCTGGTGTTGCTCAGTGGTCAGAGCATCAACCCAGTACAGAGGTCACAGGTTCGATTCCTGGTCAAAGGCATGTACCTCAGTTGTAGGTTCAATCCTGGCCTGGTTAGGGTGCATGCAGGAGGCACTCAATTGATGCGTCTCTCTCACATTGATATTTCTATCTCTCCCCTCCCTCCCTCCGTCCCTCCCTCTTTTCCTCCCACAATCTCTGAAAATCAGTGGAACATATATCTTCTAGTATGAATAACAAAATAAAAAAACGGAGTAGCCTGGCTGACATGGCTCAGTGGTTGAGTGTTGACCTATGAACCAGGAGGTCACAGTTCGATTCCTGGTCAGGACATACATATGCCTGGGTTGCAGGCTGATCAATGATTCTCTTCATCATTGATGTTTCTATCTCCCTCTTCCTTCCTCCCTGAAATCAATAAAAATATTTATTTTTTAAAAAACCACAGGAATTGTTGGTGAGGATGTGTAGAAATCAGAACCCTGGTGCATTGTTGGTGGGAATAAAATGGTGCAGATGTAAAACAGCATGGAGGTTCCTAAAAAAAACAATTACCATATGATCTGGCTATTCTGCACCTGGGTATACACCTAAAAGAATTGAAAGCAAAGACATGAACAGATATTTGCACAGCCATATTCACAGCAGCATTATTCACAGTAGCTAAAACATGGAAGCCAACCACATGCCCATCAACAGATGAATGGATAAACAAAATGTGATAAGTACATAAAATTGAATATTATTCAGCATAAAAAGGAAGAAAATTGTGACACATGCATATGGATTGATCTTGACATTTTGCTAAATGGAATAAGTCACAAAAAAGGCAATTGCTGCATGATTCCAATTTATGAGGTGCTTAGAGTTGTCAAAATCAGAGAGTAGAAGGGTGGGTGCCAGTGTCTAGGGAGGGAGAGTGAGGGTTTAATGGGGACAGAGTTTCAGTTTTACAGGATGAAAAAGTTCTGGAAATGGTGGTGGTGGTGGTAGTACATTATTGGTGTATTTACACCATTGAATTGTGCACTTACACGTGGTTAAAATGGTAAATTTTATTATATACTAGGGGCGGGTCTCAGCCCAACCTCCGCGGCCCCTCCCTCCACAGCCCCGGTCCCCTGTCTGCTGGCAGCCCCGCTCCCGCTGCTGCTGCTCCTACATGCTAACGGCGCAGAGCAATTGGGGCCGGTGCCGTCCGCAGGTGCGAGCGAGTGGCGGCGGCTGCCCCGATCACCCCTCAGGAGCAGGGGGAGGTGAAGAAGCCCTCGGGCAATCGGGGCTGTCAGTCACCACTCACACCCACTGGCAGTACTGAGCGATCAGCGCTGGGCACCGGCAGCGGGGTGAGAGCCGCCGGCAGCAGGTGCGATCACCCGGCAGGACCGCAGTGCATGGGAGCAAAGAATTTTCAGTAAACACTAGAGCAGTGGCCGGCAAACTCATTAGTCAACAGAGCCAAATATCAACAGTACGACGATTGAAATTTCTTTTGAGAGCCAAATTTTTTAAACTTAAACTATATAGGTAGGCACATTGTTATTAACTTAATTAGGGTACTCCTAAGCTGGCCTTTGCTAAAAACGTCCTCAATCTGATTGAGGTACGTTCGCTGAGGCCGACCCCTTCCAACTCTCCCATCCACACTCGTCTTGTGTACTTGCTTTGTCTATCTCCTTTCGTTTATCCTCTCTATATGTCCAACCCATCTCAACATACCTTTCTCAATCCTCGACAATCCTTCTTTCACTCCACAACGTTCCCTAAAATTAACTTAATAAACTTTACTTAAAGTTTTAAGTCTTAGTTAAACTATAGGTACATTGAATAAAACTTGATATCGATATTATTTATTGATAAAATTAAATTCCTTACACTATCCATAAAATTAAATCATGACACTAACACCACTTCTTCAAAATAGACTCGCCCAGGCCGAAAACCGACTTCTGCGCATGGGCCACGAAGTTTCAATCGCACTGTAAGTGTGCGCCCACATGTGGTATTTTGTGGAAGAGCCACACTCAAGGGGCCAAAGAGCCACATGTGGCTTGAGAGCCGCGGTTTGCTAACCACTGCACTAGAGGCTCGCCCTAATGACAGCGACCAGCACCTCGCCTTGGTCTGGCGCCCCTGCTCACCTGCTCCACCATCTCGCCATGTTCTGCACGCGCCCCCTAGTGGTCAGTGCACATCATAGCGACCAGTTGTTCAGTTGTTCCCCCGTTTGGTCTATTTGCATATTAGGGTTTTATATAGAGAGATATTTTACCACATTAAAAAACAATTCAAAATATAGGACACACACACGAGGCATCATGATATTCTCTGCCTGGAGCAGGGTCCCAAGGCCAAGTTCTTTGAAGGGAAACTGCTCCCCACTCTTGGGCCATGAAGTCTGGAGGAGCCCTTCTTTGAGAAACCCTGTTGTCCAAAGTCCGGATCACACAAACAGGAACAAGTGGTCCCTTGAAGGGAGCGGGGGAGGGTCTCAGCAGCAGGGCCTCCTGGCAACCGTAGGGGACGGGTGAGCAGCAGACTGCCAGGTGTTGGTAGCTAGGAGATAACATCC